GGGGGGGGGGGGAGAACGAGCGAGAAAAACAAGGCCAGACAGGGAATCAGACGGTCAGAGCGACAGAGGCCGACTGACAAGCAGAGAGAGCCGAATGAGCGGCTGATAGATGACTGCGAAAGGCAGAACAAAAAGAAAAAGTGAAGGATGCACTTGTCGTACCTTCTCTTTCAGCCCGGAATATGAAGGTCCGAAGGGAGTTGACTACCTCAAACTTGTTGTCACCGAGCCCTCGCACCTGTCTGATGGCGCTGGCCAGGATCATACCTTTGGAGTACATCTCCTAAACACAGAGGGGGACACACACAAACAGACAGATAAGAGCGCTGCCAAAACACACACCAAATAGGTGTACGGACACAAAGCAGACACACTGCGCAGCTTCCTGCATGCTAATAATGTTATCGAATTGATGCTTATTCCTATTATCTGCATCTGTAGAGTCGCAATTACTGTTTTCCAGCGCATTGTTTGCATCAATAGATGTGTAATTCTGAGTTGTATTACCGCCGGCTGGGATGGCATTCAATTTGAAACGCCACTGACAGACATCCTCATCAAACTCCAGCCATAACCCATCAATACAGCGTCAAATTTATTTGCAGAAATAGCTTCCCTGTTCCCTTTCAAGCAATAAGTTTGATAAATGGCAAGGAGGCTCTTGGACAAGAAGTATTTCAATCAAAAAGCTGCTTGCAGGAAAACAAACAGGAAACTCACATATATGTTTTCGTACGAGTTGTTAAGCAAGCCAGGACAAATTTGCATTGATGCAATCTTTGACATGAACACAAATAACTCAAATAACGGGCTTGAAATATGTGTAATTTGGAAATGGAGGTGCAGGAATCGGCCCAAAAAGTGAATTAACGTTGCACTGAAGAAGCCCCAAACACAAGAATAACACAGAGTGCTGTCGTTTGGGTGTTAGGAGACAAATATACAAGCAGAAAACAAACTTACAAAGACACAGGCACGCTATACTGGGGATTTGGGTGAAGCACAGGAAGTGTTTGTTGGGTAAAGTGGGATTGGGTTGGATTGTGTGTGTATTGTTTCATTACCCCCATGTTTTCCCAAAGCAGCTCCAGTGGAGGCATCCAAATAAGGAGGATGATGCACTGGAGGCTTCATGACCCTCTTTACAGTCTCCCTTGACAATGGCAATTAAAGTACTGGGTCATTGTCAATATGAAAAGGAGACAGAAGGAGCGGAAAAAAAAGAAAAAAAGAATCAGACATCAATATTATCACTTCTAAAGAAGCGAGGACAGAATGGTCCCGCCATCGAATCAGTATTCAAACCACGACGTGGCGAGTATAACAGAGAGATGCCCTTAAAGTAGTTGGAAAAAGCTAAGAACATCTCAGATTGTAATGTTCTCGCAATAAAGTGAACTGGAGGACAGCACATTACGCTTCTGTAGCGGCGTGAAAATCACTGGGTTATAAAAAAAAAAAAAGGGGGTCGTTGCAGACATTGCATTATTCATGTCGATAATGTCATTATCATTGCAAAGTATGAAAAAAAAAAACACGTCTCTCTCTTTCTCTCTGTCGCTCTTCAACGGGCTTGACCTGAATTTTGATTCTCCGCAGTCCTGTGCACGATGTAATGGCTTGTGGGTGATTGCCACGTGCAATTACTGTACGTTCGCTCTACTGTACCACCGCCGTCGCATCCTGCGAAGACGCAGAGTGCGAAGGGAGGGTGAATAGAGGAAGAAAAGGAAGTGAACTTCTGACTCCCTCTCGCCATTCTTAATTAAGCCGGGTGACCTTGCCATCCACAAAAGCCTATTTCTAGAGACCAGCCAAAAATATACCAGCCGGCACAGTCGGTTAGGGAGAGCGAGGGGAGGGGGGGTGCAGGGAGGGATGGATGGATGGAGGGAGCATAAAATTCTAAAAAAAAAAGAAAGAAGAGAGAAATTAGGTTTGTGTGAAAGGCCAAGGGGAGGACAGAGGAAGAAAATGGAAAGAGCAGGAAAGGATACAAAGGAGGAAAGATAAAAACAAAAGAAGAGGCAACAGTGGAATTCCATAATCAAGAAGAGAAAGAAGAAAAGAAAAAAAAAACAAGAAGGGAGGCATGTGGGAAAGATAGACATCATGTCGAAATGAAGACGCCTGAGAGGGTCAGGGAGGGGTCCTTCTCATATTAAAGCAGGATGTTAACAATGGCAAGAAGTGGCTCAACCTAATTACCGACAGCCATTCTCGTGCATTTCTCTCCCCAGGAGTTTCACACCAATATCTCCCTCTTTCTCTCTCTAAATTTAGACAGAAGTTAAAAGGAAGGTGAGCAAAGGAGAAACTAAGTGCATGTGTGCGTGCGTGTATGTGTGTGTGTGTGTGTGTATGAATTAGCTTGGTGGCTGTGCGCCGATAATTACACCCCGAGTATGGGTTAACGGTAATTAATTGTTTTAATTCTAGTTTTGGGGTCATGAAGGAGAGAGTTGTTTAATTGCTGAGTTGTGCATCTGTAAATACTCCGACGGCAGAGTCAGCGGAGAGATGGTGAAAAGAAGAGGTCAGCGTTGAGACGGTGGAATCAGGCCGCGACGCCGCTCGTTGCAGCCCGCACTCACTCACACACACACACACACACACACAAAGTTTATGGACTAATCTCAAGAGGAAGGACTGCCAAGGATTCAATGAGGCCTAACTATCTCTCTTTCTCCAATAACAGACACACCTGACTCGCCTCCCTCTGCCAAACATCTTCTCCACACTCATTTCCCCCTCACTCTGGCCTCCTCCTTTCACCCCCACCTCCCACTCTAAACTCTCTCACTCCCACGTCCTCTCACTCTAGCCACCCAACATTTGTCAACCTTTGTCACTTCTTGTGGGTTTTTTGGTCCCCTTTGTGGAAACTGCCTATCCTGCGTGGATGACTGTCTTTCTTCGTTTCGAAAACAACCCGGTAAAACTTCAGGACACAATTAAGGTAGAGCAATGGAGCTAAAGCCCACAATAATGGAGGCGCCGTGTGGGGAAAGCAGGAGGAGGAGGGTAAAAGAGGGTGGAAGGAGGTTTTACCACCAAGCCTGGAGTTAAGGTTCTGGCATTTCCAAAAGCGGTGAATTTTTTCAATGGAGGTATGGGGACACCGACTGGTGGCAGCAAGAAACTGCACCTTTGAGACGAGGCTTGTGGGCAATACTGCATCCTTACTCATTGCTTCACCAAGCGGGGTGCCTTAATGATTTTAGAGATGTTAATCCCATGCAGAGCTGTTTTGAGGCCAAGATAAGCAACAAGACTTCATAAAGTGAGACAGCTGCAAAACTTCCAGGTCTCCGAATGCTGAGCATTTAAATGTTTTTTTTACAGAATATTGTTGGTAGTTTATCAAACCTGACTCAAAAAATTTTTACATTTACCTATTCATTTAAGTCAAATAATAAAAAATAATTTAAGTCGGTGTCAATGCAAGGACAACCTGGTTTATTTGCCTCATTTATTTTTTACTGTTACAAGATTTTGAGGCAAAAAAGACTTGTTTTCAATTCTTAAGTCACATCTTTAGGGATTTCCAGTGCCTATAACATTTTGGAGAATCTATGGAATGTAATATTCATAGGTATGTTTTCATTAGTGTATAATTACATGGAAATAATAATCATTGTGTATTCATTAGCTCTGAATGAGCTGTTTTTATATCAGAGGGAGCAGGTCCTCTTCTACGGAGTCTGCTATGTTGAACCACCATGTTTCTACAGAAGCCCAGAATGGATAAACCCAACACCAGCTAACTAGCTATTCACCTCCATACATTCGCCTACATGTTTAGAAGGCATTCAGTTGGTTGTAGTCTGCAACTTCACCACTAGATGCCACCAAATCCTACACACTGGTCCTGCAAAGCCAGAGATACCCGCTCCTTAGCTGCTAAATGCTCCTCTATGTCTTATCTGTCTGCCAATTGGTGCTGGGCAGGTAGCGTACAAGTTTCTATGGTGTTTTACTTAAAGCTTAAAGAAGTTGAGGGCCAGAAAAGAAAACCAAAAAAATGAACTGAAAGAAGCAACAAAACTACGCCGTAGATTCGAGGGAAACTGCAGCATCCGGTGATAATTCTCTGTGAATAAGCACCAACTTTGACTTTGAATATTCAGTTGATTAATGCAGCTTTAAAACTATCACCTTAAATTGAAGTTTCTGAATCTACCTTGAGGGGAATATAATTATTCTTAAAAGACTCTCTGTATAATTAAGAATTCTTAGATATCAGAATATAACCAGGCCGTGGAACGCATATGAAAATAAACATCTGGAAATGTACGAAACCGTGAATGAAAATTAAGATAAATGCTCTGCGGATTTCTACTGAGGGTATCACTTACTTTGGGTTCTGGTGATCAAAATAAAACCAAGCATAAATAATAACAGTAAGCGTCAGCTAGGGGCATCTTGGGAAGGCACCAAAGGGAGTAAGCAGAGGAGCTTTGAGGCTTGGCAAGACAGAGCTTTGCAGCGTCAGTCAGTCAGTCAGTCAGTCAGTCAGTCAGTCAGACAGACAGACTCAAAGACTGATCCCCGATCCTAAAACCTCATCTCCCCTTTGGCCTTCTATTCAGCCTCACCCCCCTTTCCCCATCTTCTCATCCCTTCATCCCTCCCAGCCACCCTCCTCCTCTCTTCCTCCCCTCACTACCCTGAAGCCAGGCTTTGGACAGTTTTCACAAACACACGCACACACACACACACACACACACACACACACACACACACACAACACAGAGAGAGAGACACACACA